GACCCCTCTTTTGTTCTTGCTTTGATTAATGACTTGCGTTTTGGCTTTCGCATTGGTTTTACCGGGCCTCGTAATGTTTCTGTTCATAGTGCTAATCTGTCCTCTGCAACAGCTCACCCCGAAGTCGTTGACCAATATCTCGCAACTGAATGCCAGCGGGGCCATACGGCCGGTCCCTTCACAGCTCCGCCATTCGCCTGCCTCCGCACATCAGGAGTCGGCGTGGTCCCGAAAAAATCAGGCGGGCACCGGTTGATCATGCACCTCTCCGCCCCGCAGGGGAACAGCGTGAACACGTTCATTGACCCTGACCAATACCGCTTCAAACTGATTACGATCGACTGCATTGCCGATCATGTTCGCAGAACAGGCCCCTGCGCACTGATAACCAAGGTGGACCTGAAGCACGCGTTTCGGCTCTGTCCAGTACACCCCGACGACTGGCCACTGCTTGGCATGCAATGGAGATCGAAGTATTACTTCGACACAGTCTTGCCGTTCGGTCTGCGGTCCGCCCCTAGCTTGTTTAACCGCCTAGCAGACGCGCTTGAGTGGATCCTACGCCACAAGTACAGCATACCCGCACTCGAGCACTACCTCGACGACTTTGTTTCGGTATCACCACCAGCCACTGTGGTGCCATCGTCGACAGCCGCAGTCCACAAGGCCACGATCCTTCAGGTGTTCGACAACCTGGGTGTCCCCACTGCAGTTGGCACCGACAAGGTGGTGGGTCCATCCACGTGCGTCACCGTGTTGGGCATCGAGATTGACTCGGCCACCGGGGAACTCCGCCTTCCCACTGACAAGCTCCGCGCGCTGCAACATCTGCTGCAGTCATGGTCCACCCGCCACACCGCCTCACGGCGGGAACTCCAATCTCTAGTGGGCCACCTGTCTTTCGCAGCAAAGGTTGTTCCAGCTGGACGCACCTTCACTAGACGGCTCATTGATGCATGCACTTCCGCTCACAGCTCATCGCCCATCGTCCACCTGAGCAGCGATGCCCTAGCCGATATCCGGTGGTGGCAGGAATTCCTTCCCGTCTGGAACGGCAAAGCCCTTATGCGCGACCCAGAGTGGTCTAGGTCACCGGACCTTGAGTTGTTCACGGACGCATCCGGCCTAGGCTTCGGTGGCTTCTTTCAAGGTCGCTGGTTCGCCGGCGCATGGTCCGCAACGCAACAGACGCCGCCATACACCTCCATCATGTGGAGGGAGATGTGGCCAATCTCCCTCGCCTGCCAGCTGTGGGGACCGCTTTGGACGCAGAAGAAGATCCTGCTCCACTGCGACAACGCTTCCGTGTGCGCTGCCTGGGAGTCGGGCACCTGCCGGCACCCAGGAGTCGTGGCGCTCATACGCAGCACCCTCCAGACGGCCGCTCGCCACAACTTCTGTCTGCTTATCCGCCACATCGCCGGAGTGGACAACGGTATCGCAGATGCCCTATCCCGCGCTCAGTTCCCACGGTTCCGCCTCTTGGCGCCCGGGGCCGACCTCAGTCCGTCGTCACTCGCAAACATCCACGCCGCAGCGTGAGGAAGTCGCCATCCAGGGTCCGCCGTTACCGAGATTGGACGCTCTGCTCCTGAGACCACAGAACTTTGCTTCTGCCCCCGTGTTTTCTTTTGTTTCCTTTACTTTTTCCGCTGTGTATCGCTGCTCGCACAGCCTACTGCCACGCCCCACCCGTTGCACCTCTGCACTAGTTGTTAAGCCCTCGCCGGGGTGTTACTGCCTATCATTTCTGCCTCAACCCTGTGTGCTTACGGATTGTCAAGTCCTTTAGAATCGCATCCCTGTGTGCTTATGGACCGAGTCAAGTCCTCTAGATTTGCCGCCCGGTGTGCTTAGGGACTGAATCAGGTCCCCTAGACGCCTGCACTTTCTTTGGGAGCAGTTCGGTCCCGCCGCTGCCTAGGGAGACCACCGCAATAGACACATCTAGATGGGGAATCAAATAGGCAAGCCGCAAGCAAAATCCGCACGCCTCATGGCAGTAGGCCTCCGCCGGTCAGAGAGCCCCGTTACACCTAGGATCATGACTGCGCTCATGGGGGTGGGTCGTACGAAGCAGGGTCACTCGCACTGACTGAATTTCTTTGCCCTTTGTTGTGTTGATTCCAGGCTCGCTGGCCGTTGCCGCATGCAACCGCTCACATGATGGCTCGCCAGCCCAGATCGCTCATCTATCCGCAGAAAAGCAACCTCCCGCAGGAGGGCCACCGCAGTCGCTTCCTCCGCAACGTACCGCTGGCCCCAGTCAGCACGCAGGGCTAGCTATCGTGTTTCTCGCTCGCTTCCTAGCCGCTGTCTAGGGCAGGTGGTGATGGATGTGCGCATGTTTGTGTATATGCTTGTGTTTATGTGCGCGCATGTGGGCATGTGCGCTGCTATACGCGGTCACTGGTGGATGCATGTGGCACGCTATCTCTTCTCCTGTGTCCTCTCTGCCAGGCTCGCCAGCCGCCGCACTTTCCGCACGAGCCGAACAACTCATATCCAATTCAGTGGCCGCAGCCACGCAACACACATATGCCCCGGGCTGGCACGCATTCCGCAAGTTCATGCAACAGATTCACCGCGACCCGCTGTCACCGCGTCACGATGACATCCTGCTATTTGCCGCTTCCATGTCGCATTCTGTCAGTGCCGGCACTTTGAAAGTATACCTGGCCGCAGTCAGATACAACCTCCTCTGCAGGGGAGGACCTGTCGAAGTCCTTCCATCCAGCCGGCTCACCGCTCTGGTGAAAGGCCTGGAGAGAGAACGCGCATCGCTCCCACGGCACGCAACTGCCCAGCCTCGGAGACAGGCTATCACCGCCGTACAACTCAAGGCACTACATCTTTTCCTGCAGCGTTCCGCTTATAGCCCTGGCGACACGCTCATGCTATGGGCCGCATTGACGACAGCATTCCATGGTCTGCTGCGAGTTAGCGAGTACACGTCCCCGTCGCCAGCAGGGTCGGGTACCCTGAAAACTCTCAGGCGCGCTCACCTCGTGCTCTCTCAGGCCACAGCCAGCTTACGGCTTCAACGCACGAAGACATCGCAGCTGACAAGCGGTGGCGAGGTTGTGCTGCATCGCCATGCAGACCCGCAAATATGCCCCGTCCTGGCCCTCGAGGCATACGTCAGATCATGCGCATGGGGTAGTGACGAACAACCTCTCTTCAAGTTCGGCAATGGACGATGGCTCACGCCCAATGACATCAACGTAGTGTTGCGCAGGGTTCTGGGCCCCAGCTACAGTAGCCACTCCCTCCGTGCAGGTGGCGCAACGCACATGGCGAACCAAGGTGCCCCGGAGTATGCCTTGATGGCAGCCGGGCGGTGGTCCAGCGGAGCTTACCGCACGTACGTTCGCAGGCCTGCAGGCATGCCGCGGCGTTACTGAGCCACGGGTCGCAAGCACCGCACGCCCCCCTTTTCTTGGAGGCACGGGCTCGGCCGATGGGCACGAAATCCGCATGGTGCACATCCATCGGCTGCCGCAGACAATACAATTAATATACTTGTGGGTACTACCGAGTACTTAGTGGTCATGCAGTTGCCATAGCAATGTACTGGTACACCCAGCCTTTATGATTGTTACATGACCCCATGGGTCGTCTTTCAAACGCTCTTTCATAGCCGATAGATGGCGTTATTTGTTCCTATCATACTATGTTACAGATGGGCGGCCTTAGACGGCCCAGTCCGATCATTTCACGCGAACTATGTTATACGTCATCATGATCACAATAATCATGTCGTGCTCACGTTCAATATAAGCTTGCGACACCCCACTGGCTCATCTCTTCTGTGGTGTGAGGGTTAAATGTTGGTTTGCGTTGCGCAAACCGTAGTTAACCAGCACGCCACGGGCCGCGCCCCCGCAGGGGAATATTCCCGCAAGATGACTTTAGGTGACCATACGCACTCGGCCGTGCCGCCGCAGTCGACTGGCGCAAGCACGCACTCTTGCAGAGTTCCGCATTCGGGTCGCACTCGCGTACGACATCCCGTATGAGCCACCCTTCGCCTGGCGGATGCATCCGTAGACGGCTCATCTACTGCTGGCTGGTGTAATTTTGCCAGTTGTCTGTTTTGCTGCGAGTGCTCGCCACGCAATTTTGTTTCCCACCCGCCCACGCCTACCGGACGGAGGGGAGGCACGGGCTCGGCCGATGGGCACGAAATCCGCATGGTGCACATCCATCGGCTGCCGCAGACAATACAATTAATATACTTGTGGGTACTACCGAGTACTTAGTGGTCATGCAGTTGCCATAGCAATGTACTGGTACACCCAGCCTTTATGATTGTTACATGACCCCATGGGTCGTCTTTCAAACGCTCTTTCATAGCCGATAGATGGCGTTATTTGTTCCTATCATACTATGTTACAGATGGGCGGCCTTAGACGGCCCAGTCCGATCATTTCACGCGAACTATGTTATACGTCATCATGATCACAATAATCATGTCGTGCTCACGTTCAATATAAGCTTGCGACACCCCACTGGCTCATCTCTTCTGTGGTGTGAGGGTTAACCAAATTAAAGCTGTGTGGACCCTGGCTAGCGCCAGACGTTACTGAAGTAACGTCTTCTGCATAGCTACGGGAATAACTACACAGTACGCTGTAATGTGCACTAAAATCGTCGGGACTGGCCAATACCCCCCATTGTCTTCAATGGAACTCCTGTCGAGGAGCAGCCCTCCATCAAAGTACTCGGCGTCACGTTTGACCATCAGATCAAATTCAGCCAGCATATCCGAACTGTTGTAGTCCGAGCAACGCAGAGACTTGGAGCCTTGCGCAAGGCATTTCACTTGCTGACTATTCCTGCCCGGCTTCGAGCCTACAAAGCCTTTGTCCGGCCGGTTATGGAGTACTGCCCAATCGTCTGGATGGGGGCAGCTCCTTCCCACTTGAATCGGCTGGACTGGGTGCAGGAGCGAGCCATCAAGGCAATACATCCGCAATGCTGGCTTCCTAGCCTCATAATTCGCCGCACCATCGCTGCCCTCTGCCTCCTGTATAAAGCCCTTTGCGATAATTCTCCCGCCTTTCTCTCGAGAATGGCTCCACCCCCGACACACCAACCCAGGACCACACGCCTCACCCGCCAGGCTGTACGACTGTCCACCGCGCATCCCCATCAGTTACAGAATGTTCTTCCTGCCAATTCCCGGAACAATGTGAGCCGAGCCTTTCCCCACTCCGTCATCCCAATTTGGAACCAGCTGCCTACCTCTATCATTCCCCACCCATTTCACCCAAAGAACATCCAAAAGTTCAAGACAGCAGCTTATCACCATCTCCTCAGAACGAACTGGCACTGGGCCACTCATATCATACGCGAGTAAGAGGGTACAGTGTCCTACCCTGCTTGGACATACATGTAATCTCTCCTCACAGACAGTCTCCTCTTGAATTTAAAAGTCTAACAGCGTTCACATCAATATTCAACTTATTCTTTTGCTCACTGAGCAATACAATCTTTCCATTTTCTTTCTTCTGTTTTCTTTTTCAATTTAATCCTCCCTACCCAATATCCCTTTGGTGCGTCCATGGAGCTATGAAGCCGAGACCTCTGGTCGGCGGAGCTTAATGGGCCCCACCACCACACTCCATCATTCACCCCAGTGTCTGGAGATATGTGGATTTTGTAGAAAAAAAAAGAAAAGAAAAACTAACACCACCAGTGCCCATCCAAGATGTGCTAGAGCTGTTACCCAGTTAGTTGTAGAACGTCAGTACCGTCGGTCAGTGTCGTGCAATGTTATCGCATGAGCTGATTGTTTAGTAACTGGTGGTGTTAGTGGACATTAGTTCCTTGGTCCTTTTCCTTTCTTATAAATTCATCATAATGACTGCACATGTTATACTACATCCCACGACAACAAGCTAAGTCCCACGGCAACAAAGAATGCCGACTGTTACAGGACGATGACGAGACCAGTTAATAACATGACAATGCGGTCTAACTACAATTCGAAGCAGCAAAGCAACAGACCACCCAACTTGGATGGGTCAGCAATATCGGAGATAAAGGAAGGGGGGGGGGCTTTGCGAAAACGAATTGTACAAAACCGGACGCCAATATCTAACAGTACTCCTCATGCAGGACACTATTGTGGACGAGTTGACTACACTAACAAGTACATGACATTGTAGTTCCACACGACGTACGTTTTTCCGTGTTGTTCGTGACGGCTCATCAGGTGCACATTTCCGCTGCGCTCACCTTCCCCTCTTCGGTCCTACGTAACCATGAACCTTCCAAGTATTAGTTGGAAGGCTGTTGGTTTGCGCAATGGAGGTGTGTTAGAGCTACTTCAAGTACATGTAGGTCCCAGGTGGCTGAATGTCTCAGTAGCTTGTCAGTTTTGTGCCCTATTATCGCACTTTCTGACTGTATTTATCATCTTGTTACAGTCGTGGATAGTTGCTGCATAGCTCGTTCCCATGTGTTTCTTCTGTTTTAAATTTATTACTGGCTCAGTATCCGAGTTAAAAAAGTGCTAAACCGTAAATATTTAGCCG